GCTACACGCCCTGGCTTGTTATGAGGCATTGAAAACTGCAGAGATACAATTGCGTGCTAGGATAGTAGAACTGCAGATTTTTTTTTTTTCTTCTAGAAACTGCAATGGAGCCCTCCTGTGGCTAATTTAATCCAGCAAAATTTCCCTGATCTAAGCAGAAAAGCTTATAAAGAAACAGTTTTACTGCATCTGTAGCCATGACAATGTGCTTTGAGTCTAAAGAGCCCTAAGGAAAAAAACATATTCCCTTAGATAGAGAAAATAAAGCCTAAGGAGAGAGAGAAGAGAGTTTAACTCTTTATTTTGCAGTCAGCATCTCAAAACCATTCTCACCAATTTCATGGTAGTGGTTTACCAAAAGGAAAGGCCTGGAATTTAGAAGCTGTGTCAGTAGTGAGAAAATATATGTACCTAAAAAGAGGAAAACCGCCTATTTCCATGACTCTAGTTTCCCAGATGTTATGTGAAAAAGGATTCTCCATCTATTCAGAAATAATTTATCTGGCAGGCTCTATAGACTGAATGCCTGTGCTTCCCTCCCCGCTCAACCAATTCCCACCTTGAAAACCTAATGCCCAGTATCATGGTATTAGTAGGTGGATTCTTTGGGAAGTGATTAGGAGTAAGTGTCCTTATAAAAGAGACCCAAGAAAGCTCCCTGACCTCTTGTGCCATGTGAGGTTACAGTGAGAAGATACCATCAATGACAAAGCAGATCTGGGGCAACGTGTCTAGAAGCTTGGAGCATGATGATGACTTACATAATTCTTGTGCCTCTTTTGTGTGAATAACAGGAATACTGACTGTACTATGTCTATGAGAGTCTTCTGTAGACTGTGAGCCTCTGGAACATAGCAACTGCATCACCTTGGTTTCTCAAGTGCCTGACGTAGTTCTCTTACAGAGCTGGCACCTACTCATCAATCAATTTTGACTAAGCGCTGCAAGGCAAACAGAAGCTTTCTTTGGGGGTCATTTTAGGGATTGCAAATCTAGGCAACAACAATTTGTGCCTGTGTTCTGAGGGAGAAAGACAGAGACGGAGTGTATAAAGACAGAAAAAGGGGGGTTTCCAAAAGAGTGACACAAGTTGCTTTCAAAGAGCTGTGATGGGTGCTGGAAAGAAGACTTGCACTCCTACTATACGTGATTAACTGCTTATGTCTATTGCTAGGTGAAATTTTTATTTTTTAATAGAGTGTTCAGTGATGCAGAGCCAGACAAGGAACTGTATCAGGAGGTAGTCGTTTGGTTTTAGCCCAGTTCCAAAGTTGAGTTTCACATGGAGGGGGTATATTAGTTTAGCTTCTTGGAGGCCTTCCAGCTCCTTTTTAGAGTTGCTCTCTTGACAATACCAACTCCATTTTGCTGTCTTTCTTTCACATGATGTTTCTAATGAATAAATGACTGAGTGATAGAAGGAAGGGCAAGTAATTATTTAATGATATTGATTGCTATTCATTAATAAAGATCAACCAATCAAGTAATATTTATTATTTATTGCACACATTATGTGCCAGTTTTTACTTGGAGCCAGGTTCCAAGAAGTTATAGTATGAAAAAAGTGGATGGGTGAATCACCTGGAGTTTTCATCCCGTGTAAATGTGAAAATGTGGGACCCTCTGAAGACTTTTTCAGATGTTTGTGAGTCAGCCAGCTAGTGCTAACTGGAGAATACATGGTCCCAGGACTATACTGATACAGATTAAGCATAGGTGGGCAGAGACCAAGCAAAGCTTGGTCACTGCTTAGTTGAGTAGTTTGTGAGGGTCAAATGTCACAGACAGGGTCAGCATGTAGTGTCAAAGGTTAATGCAACAGTTCATATGCAGCCCATCAGTACAGCAACCCCCCTGGGATCAGCTTTTTCTAACTTTTAATCTGACAATTTAGACAAAAATTGACCCTTCTCACCGTTCCATTTCCTCTGGATTTAACACAATTTCCTGGATCTCCCTAATTAGGTCCCTCATGAGCACTAGTTCCTAAAGGGATAGACTGGGAACCTGAATGACCTAGCAGCTCTGGGTTTTTTCAAAGCTGATGTCATCTTCCAGGGGTGGGCAATGGCCTTAGTCAAAGGGAATCCTCTCGTTCCTGACTGCTAGGATGAACGGCTTCCACCATTCAGATGGCCTTATGAATTGACTTGTCTGAGGCTATAATTCCTTACTCATGCACTATTTTATGTGGCTATCATGCCCTGAATACTGCCTTAATGCTAAGTCTGGCTGTATGTACCCCAAGACCTGGAATCCTAAGTGACAGCCTGTCTTATCTTTAATTTGCAGCAGCTCTCATAACAAATGCAGAAAGAAGTGTTTATTGAAGGAGTTAGATGTGACAATTTCTGGTCTTGAAAGCACGTGAAAGATTAGAAATAAATATTCCTTTTAAAAATTTTCTCTTTGATCAGGAGTTTAAAGTTAGCTGACTACTGGAATCAGTCACTCTTTTAAAGAACACATAAGAATGCTTGATTCCATTTCCTATGTCTTTTAATAATCTATTTTTCACTAACAGCCTACCACCTAAATAGTAAATCCAATAACTTTTAGCTCTAAAAGATATGTGTGTGTGTATACGTACACACACACACACACACACACACACACACACACACACACAATGTATTTCTCAACCCATATTGTAGTTAGGATCCTTTTTTTTTAGCATTCTATTTGGCTTGAGAATCTTGAACTATGCACTCTTAACCTTTCACTTATTTTACTTGTCATTGTATAGTTCTGGCAGCACATGCTTGAATTCTCATTCTTTAGAATTTTACAGAATCACACCCATGTACCTTCTTTCACATACATTTTTATAAAAACATATATTATAAAATATCATAATTCTTTAATAGAAAATCAAAAGTCCTGTAAATCACCAATTACTTCTCCTGTTTTCATACAGAAGTATATTTTTCTATAGAAGTCCACCAGAACCATCATTAATAAAAACATCTATTTTAAGGTATGTTGGTAATAATTATGTTACCGCAAATTTGGCAAAAAAGAGAAATTAACCCAAATAAATGTGGATTAAGCAAAGTCAACAATCTTATACAACTCTATGGACATACTGTAGCTTAATTCTAAGGAAAATTTGGTTTGTCTGACTGACAAACTTTTATTAAATATACATATATTTAATAAAATATATTTATTTATATATTTACATAAATTATATATATACATATATACATATACATATATATATACATATACATATATATATATATATCTTTCAAAAATACAAACCTCAAGCAGATCTTACATAAAATCCTCTTAATAAAGATTGGAAGGATAAAAAATTTGTAATTTCAAGCCATTCCCTCTGAATTTTATGTAAGAACTTCTTAGAAATCATGTGGACATGGGAAAAGCACCAACTGGCCCTAGTAGGCAAGAAGGTATTTTCCCAAAGTGCTGACAAAGAAATCCCCAACCAACTTAAGGCAGCAGGAAATAATTAATTGTTGCACATCCTCATTTCCTCTTTTACCGATTATTTGGAAAACAAGAAACCTAAACATCTGTCTACTCTCCTGATTAAGGGGCGGTTCAGAGGATAAAGTAAAAAAAGATGCATCCTTTAGATTTGAATTTCCTAAGTTAATTCAAATAGTATTAAAAAATGCAAGTGTCTTTCTGAACTATATGCCTTATTCAGTGCAATTACATAGTTCTCTTAAATTCCACTGATGGCTAGAAAGACAATATTACAGTGTTGAGAGTACTCTGGACTGTCAAACTATTTGGGTTTGAATCCCACCTCCTGTGCTTGCTGTGTGACCTTGAACAATTCCGTTAATCTCTCTGACTCTTATCTGTAAAATGGGAGTAAAAATAGTAATTACTTCAATGATTGTTAAAAGGATTAAATGAGTCAATATGTATAAAGCACTAAGAACAGTACAGTTGTATAGTAAATACTATGCAAATCAGTATTATACACAAGACTGATATGCTAAAATTAACTAAATTCTGTCAAAAAGTTGCTATCCCTGTGCCTATAACTAAAACACTTAATGATAAATGAAAACATTTATCAGCAATTGCTTTGTTTCAAGATAATGGACCCTGATACCCTGAAGAAGTATAACAAATTTAGTGGATTTATCAGTTTTCCCAAAATCATTGTGGAATAAACATAGAAACAGAATGCGACATTAAATGCCAAATGTTGAATTAAAATAGAAATTTCATTCACATTATTAAGAATGGTTAAAATCAAGAAAAAATAAGATACCGATTCAGGAAATAGAGAATGCATCTCAGGAATCAGGGATAGGACATTCCCAGGATGACAGTGAGGGAGACCCCAGGAATAAAGCTAAATGCAGTGCATCTCAAACTTTGTTGTGAATAGGAATCACTGGGGGATCTTGTTAAAATGCAGATTCTGATTCAATAAGTCTGGGTAGGGCCTAAGGTTCCGAGTTTTAACCATCTTTTCACAGGATGCTGATGCTGCAGGTTCAGGGACTACACTTTGCATAATAGGATACAGAGAACAAACAGTCCAAATTGTAGCAAGAAGGCTGTACAGAAAGGGAATGAGAGAAAAAAATTGATTTGCTTCTACGAGATAATTGAGGATGAATTAGTGTCAGGCAATAATAGTAAAGGAGGGAGCGGGATGGAAGAGAGGGAAAGATTGATTTGTCTTTTAAATAAATACAAATCAAGGAAAAACACGTGCTTTGGTGGAGGCAGTGCCCCTAGCAAACACCTGAGGCGGAAGGCCGGATCGCCTTAACGGAAACACATTCGGGGATCTGGGGTCCCAGCAGCATCCCTGGGAGATGCTTGGGTTGGGGAGGGTAAGCCGATGCAGACAGGGTAGACAAAAGACGACTGTCCCGCCCACAAGGGAGTGGGCGGAGCCTCAGCCGCCCCCGCTCCAGGTCAAAGGGGGCGGGGCATGGGCGGAGCCTTTCCCCTAAATTGGCGCTCCCGCGGCGGCGCAGGGATCCGGATTGGTGGCTCTTGAACCCGGAAGCAGTCGGTGGCGCTCGGAAGCTTTGGAGACGCGGGGTTCTGCTGGCGCTGCAGCTGCAGGATGGTCGGTGGCGGCGGCGGGAAGCGCAGGCCCGGCGGGAAGCGCAGGCCCGGCGGGGCGGGGCAGCAGGTACTGCCGTAGAGGCCGTGCGGGCTCCGCGGGCACTTGGGGTCATGGCCAGGGAACCAGGGGCAGCACATCGCATTTATCCGGTAATCACCGAGAGCCTGCTCTGTGCCTGTGGACGGCGGGCTGCTCCGGGGAGCCTGCCCTGGGCCGCTGTTTCCCAGCGCTCTGCTGGGGGTTGGTCCAGAGAAGTAGTGCTTTTGCATCTTCTGCCCTAATCCCGGCGCGGTTCCCGGGAAAGCTGGTGAAAACAGCCAGCGGCTCATTTTTTCAACCAGCCGGATTGGACTGGAAACGAGTACAAGCCAGGCGCGGTGCGCGACGCGGCGGATTCAAGGTGAATCCTGCCGCCCCTGCCCCACTTAGAGCCCCCGTCCTGGGAGGTGGGCACAGGCGAATATGCGTGTTACTGTAAATTTTCGTTTGGCGTTGTAACATTAGTGTAGAAAGCGCTGTGAAAACTGGAGGATTGAACAAGCCCCTTGGGCTGTGAAGTCTTTCAGGACAACTCACGTTTGAAAGGGCTCTTGAAGGCAGAGAAGAGAAATAAGGGGTAAGAAATGAGAGATTCGTGTAGAGGATGTTGGGTACAGCGGACAGTTGGGCCTGGCTGGAGCCTGGGAGATGGGAAAGGAAGGGGTACCAGATAAAGGCAGTAACGACGGAGGGGGGCATAAAGGATGTGCATTTTCTCATACTTGTAAACGATTTCAGAAGTTCAGTAACCACTGCAGTAGCAATAAGGAGAGTCAGGCAAGAAAGAGTGTCATTGTGGTAAGTTAAGTTTTAGAAAAATCATTCTGGCTATCTTACAAGTGGATAGGCTGAGACAGTGTTAGAAGGTCTAATTGTTAGTAGACTTTCATTGTATTGGGTCATGCTTTCTAGGTACACAAAGGTGAAGTGGAGGTGCAGCCTCTGAAGGGTACAGCTGCCCGAAATTCTAGTTATTGGGGATTTGGAGAGATAAGGCAGAGCCGAAAACCTTAATCGCCCTTTGGTGCAGTGAACTGCTTTCACAGAGTGATAGTGTTAGAAACAAACGATCAAAAATGAAGATGAGTCTACAGAGAGGCTATAGCTAACAATAATAGCCAGCATTTCTATATTATGTGCTAGGACTGTTCTATTTTTATAAGTAATTTATTCCTTGTAACCACCTTATGATAATAGAGTACTGCATATGCCCTTTTTGTAGTTGAGAAAACAAGGCACAGAGAGGTTTAAGCAACTTGCCCAAGGTGACAGAGCTGGAAATCAGAAGTCAGCAGTCATCCCAGGCAACCTCACCATGATGCAAAACTGGCTTTCAGCAAGGGTGCGAGTAAGGCTTTTCTTTCTAACATCTTAAGTCTGAGCCAGCCTCTGAAAGCTTAACCAAAGAAAAACAGAAGGTTAAAAAAACAGAAGGGAGGACAGGCCAGAACTTAGTCTGTTCCAACTGTTCCATATTTGTAGTTGGAGAAGCAGTATAAAGGGGTTGAATCTGCTCAGGCTTAAGTAAATCCCCTTTTTTTTTTTTCACTTTCTAATTAGGGCCATAAGGGGAGTTTCTTCAGTTTCTCATCTGTAAAATGTGGATAATAGTATCCAGCTCATAAGGTAGCTGTGAGGATAATCCGTAGTTAAGTAAGTCAATCTATAGAAAGTGCTTAGAACAGTGACCTGGCACCTAGTAAGTGCCTAATAAGTACTTTTTATTACATAGCGTTTTTACTGTTATTACCTTTATTACCCTTATTGTTTGCTGCTATCATCAGCATCTATTTTTGGCTCCATATTTCAACAGCCTTTTTGTTAAAATTTTTTGTAACCTCAGACACATTATAACCCTTGGCATAATAAACTATTATCATGCATGGACCTCTGTTACCTTGTTTATTAATAATATAACACCCGTGAACCTATTGCCCACTCGAGAACTGAAACACTGACGATGACTACGTCTACACGTGTTCCTCACCTGTCCTATCTGCCTAACTTCCTGTCACCTACAGTCAATGTAGCTACCTTCCTGAATTTTGTTTTCCCTTGCCTTCTTTCTGTAGCTTTATCATCTATGAGTAAATGCCTAAACAATGTTTCTTCATTGTCTTGAACTTCATAAAAAGGCTATCCTGCTGCATATAATCTTTAGAGGTTTTTTTCTTTACTCAACATTCTGTTGGGTCGTCGGAAAAGTCATGACGTATTTTTCTGTGTTTTTCATTGTAAAAATGCGTCATGACTTTTCCAACGACCCAATATTATGAAGACTGGTCCATATTGTGTGTAGATATATTGCCTTTTCACTAACTGTAATACTCCATTTTTTGAAAGTCCTGTAACTATCCATTCTCTGTCACTAAACATTTATTTTCATTTATTCTGTTTTCTGCCCTTAGAAACAATGCTATCCAAAACATTCTTGTGTCATCTGACTCAGAAATATATTTTTTAGGCTTTGAATGCTACCGAAAGTAACACCAATAAACTTGAACCTACTGGGAAAATGGAAGAATATAAATATGAGAAATCTCTTGGTTAGAATTTTTTAACCTCAGCACTATGGACATTTTGGGCCAGATTAGTGTTTGTTAAAGGGAAGGGGGGGAGCGTATCCTGTGCATTGTAGGATATTTATCAGCACCCCTGGCCTCTTCCCCACTAAATGTCAGTAGCACCCTCCCTGCCCCACCCCCCCAAACTTGTGACAACAAAAAGCTCTCCAGACATTACTGAATGTGTCCCCTGGGGGACAAAATTGGTCCTGGTTGAGAAGCACTGGTGTAGGTGGAAAGGAATAAGAAGGAATGAACTTAATCCAAAGGAAAGGATCTAGGTTTCTTAGAAAGAAAAGCAAATTGCTACTTAAAAAATTAAAGGTAAGTAACCTCCGACTAAGCATTTTATTTTTATGGAAATCTATCAAATATCTAATATGCATTATAAAACCTGTCATACTTAACATAATAAGCCTAGATTGCAGAGATATGGAGGTAAGATTTACAACCTAGTCCCTGGCATTAAAGGGCCTTTTGTGAAATAATTGTTTTAACTGGTTAAGTCTCCTTGTATCCAGTTATTTCTGACAGTTTGCATCTGGTGTGATCATTGCATCTTTAAACAAAAGGCATGATGACACCCTGTTTACCGAAAGGCAAAACCCGCCTTTTCCTCATTCCTCTCTTCCTGCTCTTCACCTTTGCTTTTTACGTTGCGTTTTTGTGTTTTCTGTGTTCCCATTATCTTAGAGAAACATAAAGACTTACTGTGTGGTTCCCTTTTGACCACTATATATTATAAACTGTTCTTTTTTTCTTTGCCCAAGAGAACCCCCCGATTTTACTCAGAAATATCATTTGAGGGGGGAAAAAGCATGTATCTCAGATTTGGTTGAGCATAAATGAGCAATATTGTTATGTAAGGAGAGTTACTGAAATTACTTTTTGGAGAAACAATATTTTGTATGCCAATTTTCAGTGTGAAAAAACAGTTGATGTAAAGAAGAGTAAATCCTGTGATGCTGATGTCTCCAGTGACCTTCGAAAAGAAGTAGAAAATCATTATAAGCTTTCTCTGCCTGAAGACTTCTATCACTTCTGGAAGTTCTGTGAAGAACTTGATCCTGAAAAGCCAGCTGGTGAGTTGCTCCACTTCTATCATTCTGCTTCTATGAGTGGAAAAGGCAGTAGGAAACTGGACCAAACATTTAACAGTTCATAGAGAAGGAACCTTTTCAAACATGTTTCTAATAAGAGAAATATAAAATGACGCTATAATAGCATGTCACTGTCACCTGTTATCCTGGCAAAGGTAAATGATTTTACAACGTGCTTTGATGAGCGTTTGAAGGAAAACAAGTTCCTTGGTATATTACAGGAGTGTTAGTATGACATATCAGTTCTACTTCTAGGAGCTTGGCTTATGGGTTAGGTGAACTAAAAATTATGTTCAATGATATTTATTGAAACAAAAAAGGAGAAATGGCTAAACTGCCCATCAGTAACACATCTATTCAATAAATATTCATAGTTTTAAAAGAATGAGTCAGATTTTTAGGCAATGATAAAATATCATGCCTGAAAGATTTTAACTGAAAAAGAAAGTATACAGGGTATGCTACCATTAGTATTTTTTTTTTAAAGTAAAGGATACACATACACATCCTATATACTTTCTATGTGCTTATACTATCTCTGAAAGAATACACAAAAAACTGATAATGATTGTTACAGAGTTACTTTTCACTGTTAACGATTTTGTACAGTTTAAATGTTATAGCATGAGTGGGGGCAGAGAAGCGATCTCATATACTATTGATGGAAATGTACTTGTATATTGGTAGATAACTGAATTTTGGCGGTATATCAAAATACTTAAACTGTGCAGCAACTTCTCTAACAAATTTATGACTGTGTACCAAACATGTATGAGTTAGCAAAGATGTTCACTGAAACATTGTTTAGAATAGTAAAAAACATTAGAAACAATAAATATCTATCAATAGTAGAATATGTATCTATAATGGAATATTAGCAGGTATTAAAAATTATGTAAAAGAACATTTAATAGCATGGGAAACTATTCAGAAAATGTGAGAACAGGATGGAGAACAAAAAAATATTACAAAACAGCATAATCTCCCTTTAAAATATCTATGTTTTTATCTGTTCATAGAGGGGGCGGGGAATGCTATCATTGTATACCAGACTATTAACCTTATCACAGGCTAGTGAGATGGGTGGTTTTAGTTTGTATATTACTTTAACAATTAGTGGGTGCTATCCTAAGCTCCAGCTAAGCTGAACCTCCTCCCCCTCCAAAGAAATGTGCTTTTATTCACATTGTTACTTCTTCCAAGAATTTGCTTCCTCTCTCCATCCCCACCTCCTACATATCCAGACCCTGCCTGGAGGGCTAACCTCCCGCTCAGAGAAGCAGTGAGGACCCATCTGATGTTGTAAACGTGTACATCTGAACAGACTTCATGACTCCGCTTTTATTTAATATTCCTTCTGTGATATGAATGGAAAAAGAAGAAGGAACCATCCAGCATTAGGGTTGATCAAAAAGATTGCCAAAGAGGCAGAGGAGTCCCACAGTGATAATCAGCTGAAGTAGAGGGAAGAGGAAGGAAATGTTTTCATTAAATACATATATATTTTAAGATTTTTTTTTTTATTGGGGAATTTGGGGGAGAGGAACAGACAAGTTGCTGTTCTTTTGTTCTTCAGTCTAGTTGTGGAGGACGTTGCTTCACTGGCCCATGTTGGTATTATTATTGCCCTCTTCCTGGTTGAGCACTTGCTCGCCTGCCATTGGAGGGCTGCTCATGGCAGCCCACGAAAGCTCACACCAGCTGCCGGCCAGCCCCACTGCAGCCTACACCATTGCCGGAGACTCACTGGCAGCCCAGCTCCAGATCAAGCTGTTGTTCACCATCTTAGCTGTAGAGGGCGCAGCATCACTGGCCCTCATGTGGGATCCAAACTGTAGCCCTGATGCTCAGAGCTGGCGTCCCAAGCCAACTCCTAACCAACGTGCCACTTGGCCGGCCCTATTAAATATATTTTTTAATTCAATAATTTACCTTCATAATGCACACTCATTTATCTTTTCTCTCCCTTAATCGAGGTGTGCTACAAGTATTTTAGGCTCACAACATATGAGTAGCAATGCGATGGTAAGTGTTTGTAGCTCTAACATGTCCATAGGAGTACAAAACAGTCTTGCATTGGCCAAAATAAGAAACAGCAGGAGTGTCTGAAATGTAATCAGTGGTAAATTTAATCCTAAGTGTAAGTGCCACATTTTCATAGCTCTGATTTCTTTTCCATTGAATGTTTATAACACCGTCACATGTAACTAAAGATTTTTTATTTTACTTTAGAAAGTTTTTTTAAGACAAATTGCTTAGAAATAGTTTACTAATGAAAGGCATTATGTCCTGTCTGCCTCCAGAAAGTTATTGTCTAAATAAACTTATTTAATTTATAGATTCACTTTCCACAAGCCTTGGACTTCGATTAGTGGGTCCTTATGATATCCTTGCCGGAAAACATAAAATGAAAAAAAAATCAGCAAGCCTGAATTTTAACCTTCACTGGAGATTTTACTATGATCCTCCTGAGTTCCAGACAATTATTATTGGAGATAATAAAACTCAGTTCCACATGGGCTATTTCAGGTAAAGGATTTTTTCCTCTCTTCTAAAATACAGTTAGTATGCTTCTAATGAGTATAAATAGACATTCACTGGTCTCACCCAAGGCAAAGGGCATATTTCCCCCTTCCTGCTGATAAATGGACCATCTATTGTTCTGCTGTTAACATTTTAACCTACGCTAAGATGGGTGAGCTCTAAGTTTAATTAACCTCACTGGTTTTTCCTTCGTGGTTATAAACTTTTTTTTTTGCTTTTCGGTTCAGGAGAGCTCTTTTAGCCCAAGGAAGATAATTTAGAGTAGCTGCTGTGACTTAAATTAGCCATCTGCTTCCAGGGTCTCATAGACTCAACTGGTAGCTAAGGATGTGCTCTGGAGTCAGAGAGCCTGGCCCTACTGTTTATTATCCAGGTGACCCTATGCCAGTCATTAGTGACTCTGAATTTCTGTAACTCAAGTTTTCTGTCTTGTGAAAAGGAGGATAATAATTGTACATAATAGGAATATTAAGGGGATTACATGGATATGTGCAAACTGCTGAGAATGTTAAAGACATAGAAGTAGGTTGAGGGGAGAAATACCTTGTGCGCTTGTACTCGGTGTAGAGATGCTGTCATTTAAAGTCAACATGAGCTGAAAGATAACAGAATAGGGGAAGCAGAGGAACCGTGCCCAGGGAGAGGAGCTGTGGTACAGGAGCATCACATAGAGCTGGGACTTGGGTTAGTTACATGGAGTCCGCTTCTGGCTTTGCCACTAACTTACCAGGACCTTGGCTGAGTCATTTCATTTCTGTGTCAGTTCCCTCAATTGTAAAATAAAAGAATTGTATTAAAAAAAAATACATTTTTAGTTTAGATCCTTTAACCTCTAATGTTTCATAATCCTATCTGTCCTGTTTCTTTGGTTTTTCCACCTTTTTAATTCACAAACTAAAATGGGGTTGAGAAGATGGTGTATAATCTCCCCTATTTTGACAGGCCTATTCCACCTTTCTTGGTATTGAGGTATAAAAGGAACTAAGTCCTAAGAATCTTAATTTTAGGTTCTGTTATATAAATAAGATTTGTAGATATTCCTAAGAAACTTAGAACTTAAACCCAGCAAATTCCAATTAAAAAAAATGCAGATATATTGTTTATAGACCTAAAATTCTGCCTGCCTAATAACAGAAATTATGGGCGGCTAAATTTTTAATGTCTTTTGCTTAAACAGGGATTCTCCTGGTGAACTTCCTGTATATGTTGGTACCAATGAAGCAAAGAAAAATTGTATAATTGTTCAAAATGGAGATAATGTGTTTGCTGCAGTCAGGTAACAAAATATTTTATTTTAATCCCTCTCCTATTTATAATATTTATAATTTTTGTGCTACAAGGAGAATTGAGGTAACCTAAAAATTCTGATTTCTAGAAATCATTTCTGACTTGCAGGTAGTCTTATCCATATTTCTATTCTTCTACTTCTCACGCACACAAAAAATTTATATATATATATATATAACTCTTTTATATATATATATATATATATATATATATATATATATATAATATATATATATATATATATATATATAACTCTTATTTAACCAATTATTTTATTGAATGAAAATATTACTTAACCTTGACCTCACTTGTCTCATGGCAAAATCATAAGATTTCTTTTAGATATCTTATTTTAAACGCCACCATTAAGAATTCATTGTAAGAACCCACTATATATAGCTCAAACCGAAAGCTTTAGTACAGTAAAGGAGGTGCTCATAGGCTCCTTGGAAGGGCGATGGAGCAGCCTGAGCCTCCGAGAATGACAGTAGCTGCACAACTGGCTCACCAGTGGAGTTATGTCTGCCACCACCAGGAGACTGAGAAATCAAGAACTGCTGCCTCAGCGAGTGGCTTCTGGACCACACTGTCTCTGACATAGCCCGTGCGTGTAAAATGGTGCTCCGCCCTTCTCTCCATCCCATGAAGCTAAGGACCAGGTCCTGAGATCACAGCTGCAGCGGCTAGGAAACAGTCGGAAGCCTTGACAGCTGTGCTCACCAGTGGACACAACAGCACAGCCTCCACCTGACACCTGTCCTACCTTTCAGATTTCACAGTTGCATCTGCTTGAGAGAAGCTAGGTCCCATGTGAGTCTGAGCTGAAGAATAGGGAAATGCGGTAAGCTCCATGTGCAAGGGGCTTGGGATTGAGCTGAGTGAGCCAGTCTGGTCCATACTGTACCAGCCATACATACAGAAGCCACATGTCAGCAGCTGTGCAGTTTATACTGTGGTAAAATAAAGAAAGCAGCCTTGATCATTTTAAATACAATAAGTAGATCATGGTTTTGTGGGACCTCTTTTAATACCCTACTTCTAAAGACTTGTATTCCCTGTGCTTTCATAGTGCAAATTTGCAACAAACAATTCAAGCTAATTCAGCCTAGTGCTGCATATATACTGGTGTATTTAAAGGGAGACTCGTATATGTCCAGAAAAGCCTCTTCTTTTCTCTTTTGATGCCTCTGAGTATTTGCTTATCTCTGTTAGATAGTTCTTATAGTATCTGTTAACAATTTATATAGAACTTATAATTGATATAGTTCTTAAGCCCTTCAGGTTTATCGTTCAATTGAAATTGGTTCCATCGTTATTAGAAACTGTAGTTGTTTACTTGCCTACTGTCTGTCACATACTGACATGTAAGTTCCATGAGAGCAGAGGCTTGCTGTGCATAGTACCTGTCCCGTAGTAGGTGCTCCATAAATAATTTATTCCTTCTACAAATACTCTGGTGTGCAAAACACCTAATTTGTCATTAGTCTTATTAAAAATCTTTTTTAAGAAGAAAGCTATACTGCTTATCTAAAATAATCCAAGATTGTTCTGGTATTTTTTTAGCTTATTGGAGAACACAGAAAAGAAAAAGAAAAAAAATTGGTGATAAATTTATAATTTAGGTGAAGACCAGCAAGTAAGTATTAGAGTACCTATTTCACTCATGTTGTCTACCTCCAATAATTTATCTCAAACACAGAGGTAAAAACATTATGATACTTTTCAAGTATTCCAACTGTTGTAGTTTTTTGATACCTTCCTTTACTTGTAAATCTACTCAGAACACTTAGTTTCTATTTCTATATCAACCTGATATATGTCTTTTAAGGCAGACCATTTGTTATAAATAAATTATTTTTATGCCCAGGGAAACTAGTTCACTGTGTCCAAGATTGAATAGTAGTCAAAGAAATACAAATTCAGCCAGCAAGGATTAGTAAAGATTAAAGAATGGTAAGACTCAATTAGGTTATGGTATAAGAAACTTGAATGATGTAGGTGTTAATTGGTAAAACCTTTATAGAAAGCAATTTGAAAAATATTTAAACAACCCTATTCCGAAATCTAATGACAGA